CTAAGCAACTAACCCTGATTGTAAACAAGCTATTTCGAAAGTGAATCCCGTATATGAGGGATGCGGGATATATGTCATTCGTGAAACTTTGCTGCATGTACAGGGTATGTGGCTGTTGGTCCTGTTAGCAGCACGTATTATCCGGCTTTGCTCCTCCCGACCGCAGACGCAGGTTTACAAGCCACGTTTTTCAGTCAAATTCTTGAATTTCCCCCCCTTATGAGCAACACATTTTTGTACACGATAAAAGCTCCTTGTGGTTTCTCGGTTTGTCCGATTTAAGCATCCATAAACAATGCAAAACACTGGCATTTTGAGTTTCTGCTAGTGATTCCTATGGAGAAAAATCACTTCCTGCCCTCCAGCTGCATTTCGCGCGTCATCAGAATCACGTGATTGCAAACAACCTATTGTGTGAAAAATAGTCTGCTGTCATCATGCTGTAAATTATTTGAATAATAATACTTCACTATGCTAAATAAGTGTTATTTTGGGGAATCTGTTCTTTACATGACCTGCTAAAACCATATTACTTGTACTTTTACTCAATTACATGTATAAGGAAAAATAGTACTTTTTACTCTTTTACAATTTCATATAGGCTACGCTTAAAAGTAAGTAAAGTGCATATGTCATCATGACTTAAATCTGAAGAATATAAAAATAGTTCACCAAAAAAAATAAATGTCAATATGTCAGTTTTCCCACTGTCATTTTCACCTGCATGATTTCACAAAAGGAGTAGTTCTGAAGAATGCTCACGCTTTTCCCTACGACCATTATGACAGTGGATGGGAAACATAAAAAAACATCATATTCCAAGTATTCCGAAGCCATATGAGGCTGTAAGGAACAGATTACAATTTATGTTATCATTCCAAGTCATTCAGACTTTAAAAGGCATAGGTGAGTAGATGACAAAATGACCTTTTTTCTTTATGTTTGGTGAACTATTCCTTTTAGACAGTCTTTGGACTAGTAATGTGTTTTTATAATAAACATTGTGGTAGATCAATGAATTTCAAGTTTGACAGGTTTCTTTCCAAAGTTCATGCATCAAAACTAGAGAAAATCTACTGTTACTTGTTTTCAAACATCAATTTAAAAAGCTAAAAAGTGTGTAATTTTAACAAAGTACATCTGAATGTGGATACTTTTTACTTTGTCCTAGTATTTCTTGGCTAGTAAGACTTTCAATAAAGTAAAATGTTTGGCATTTGTACTTGAATACAATTTCTCAATTGTTTTACAACTCATCATATACCCACCATTTCAGTTTAAAGCAAAAGATCTGATGAATGTTTTCAGTCTAATGACTGACAAAATTTAGTAATATAAATACATAATTTGCAATTATTTGCTACAGTGTTTTAGATAAGCACCCGTTTTACACACAATAATCTTGAAAATTAATTTTAATTTGAGGTTAGCTCAAAAATCTGATGGGACAAGTGTCCCCTCAGTTTGGGCATGCATCTCGGTCACCTCATTATAATTACTCCCCTGATGGCTGCACATTGCCTGGATGACTAATATCAATACCTCCTCAACTATAAGATATAAAGATCCCCCTAACAAAATGATCTAGAAATTACCTAAAAAATGATCAGTCTGCTGTTTTCCATATGAAAGTGAATGGTGACCACATTCATATACAAATGTAAAGAAATTATGACAAACACTAGTTCTGGGCTTTCATTTTCTGTGTGATTTTAAATCAGCCAAGTTGGCTTGATTTAATCCTTGTAGTCATCTTTGCTTCCGTATCAGGCAGTGTGCTGGAACATCACATCATCACTAATCAATTGGATAAATCATTACCACGTCAAGCATGTATACCTTTTTTTCCATCTCTAAATGTGTTAGTAACATTTAATGCATATTCATATAGATTTTGGTCTACTCTGGACTAACTCTAGTCTCCATTTTTTTATATGTAACTGACTTAACATTATGACCAGTCTTGAAACAAATTAGATGACTTGTAAGACTAGTTTAAGACTTTTAATGCAACCAGCCACAGATCTCTGTGTGGATCTAGCCTTTTGTTGTGCAACTTGAAAAATAAAGGTTTAGAAATCAAAAATGTACATCTCATATCTTTTGAGATATAAATAACACTCTTATCTATCATTAGACGCATCTAATGTGCTCAAGCAGTTTGCATCGTACGGTCTTAAATGCATAGTTTTTTTGCAGTATTTATTAAAAATATAATTGAGACAACTTCAAATGGACCTTCTGAGGCTTCGGTGATAAAGCAAACAGCATGTTCACACTCATAAGTACTTTATTAAATCACTGCTTAAAAACCATACAGGTGGGTATTTGATTGTAGGAAGGGTTTGAACGTTTGTGATGTTAATGCACCTTCTAGCTCTCCATGGGGTGTGCACACTGACCACCGGTAGCAATAAACATTGTGTCTTCCTCTTGTGTGATCTCTGAAGAGATAAAAGATGAATAAAAAGAAAAAAAATGTGATAAATAGGATTTTAAATTTGCATTCAGTACACACACACACACACAGTTTGGGCATAATGGGTTTTGCGAAGAATATAACATGCAAGTACAGTTCATTTATTTTTGCTGTATCCCTGTAAAGTTAATTTGTCAACGATCAGGCATCACAATTGGCCTAATATGAAGCATTCTTTTGATAAAATGTATTATCTTACCTTGTGAGTACTCTTTCCTTTCTTTTTTCTGAATCCTTCTTTCAGTTTTAGACACCTGCATTCTTGCTTTCCATGCATTGTCTACCAGAAGAAAATACATGTAACAATATAGAGTACATACACAATTTCGAGAATTTTGGCAATGGTATATTGGAAGCCCTACCTTTCTGCAGTCTCCGTAACATTTTCTGATTTGGGTTGTTAATCCAGTCTTCCTCACTCTTTTCCCAAGATCGCCATCCAAGGTCACCACATTTATCTTGAGCAGGGCTGGGATTAAGGCATTGGCAATCTTCACACAGTCCAGTCTTTTCACTCGGTTTAGCCAGAGAAGCAGCACAGCATTTTGCCAAATAACTTCCTGAAGTCATCTTTGGGGTACCATGGAAGCCCTCAGTAGCCCTCTTCATGTAAAAGTTCTTC